CTCCTCTCAATTCAAGTAGCTTTCTAGCTGCAGCTCTGTTTCAGTCTTTTGGCAGAGCCATGCTGGTAGCCCCATAGGCGTGTGGTGAAGAAGGCGGGGGGGGGGGGGGGCATCAGTCCAACATGCCCTGCTGGCCAGCACCGATATTTTAGTCCGCATCTACCGACCCCCCTTCTCAGCTATATAAAGGTCCATCTCCCTGCCCGTCCCGGTTACAGGGGCCTATATAGAGACGCAAAACAAGTGTATAAATAAATTAAATGTATAAAATAGCTGTCAGGCTGGTGGTGTGTTGTGGGCAGTCTCTCTCTCTCTCTCTCTCTCACTCTCTCTCTCACTCTCCCTTCCTTTCTCTCTCTATCTCTCTCAGATGCCCCAGCGGTGAGTTCCAGCAAGGGAGGGGGAGTCTCAGCCAGCGAAGACCTGGACATCTTTGGGCCCATGGTGTCGAACCCGCTGCCTCCTTCCAACACGCAGCACTCTCAGGTGAGTGGGCTGACACCCCCCAGAAAAAGTCTGCCCACTGCCCCCCCCCCCCCCCCTCCAGGGACCGCGGACAGCACAGACAGTTTCTGTGGGACTGAGACAGCGGCCCATTGTCTCCTCTGTGCCCCCCCCCATTTCCCCGGGGCGATGAACACAGCACCCCTGTCCTGGTGCCCCCCCACCTCCCCCAACCCCAAGCCGACAGAGGCGTAACAGCGAAGGTCATGTGCGATTGTTTAATTTCCCGGCCCAACGAAATGGTTATATTTGCCTCTCTGGTTACTGGCTGAAAAAATTGATTTGTAAGGTCTGGTAGATGAAAAGGTGTTCGGCCTCGGGTGCCTTACCATGCGTCACAGACAGGGGGCAGGCTTTCGGGGCCAGGGCCTGTCACAATCAGGGTCGATCCATCATTGCCACCTTCACATGGGGGTGGAGCTGACTGCACCTACAGGGCCCAGTCTCCCCTTCTCTGCCACCCCTTCTGAAGCCCCCCACCCTGATTTTTTGAGGAAAATCAGGCTCAGGAAAGCCATGTCTGGGGAATTTGTGATAAATAATTATAAATAATAGATAATGCTGCTGTGTTAACCCCCCCCCCCCCCCCCCCCCCCCCCACACTTGGAAAAAAAGCAAGGTCTCATGGGTCCTGGCTGGAGAAAAGCCCCCCACTACAAGCCTGCTTTTCCTAATATTGATTTAAAGTGGGGGGGGGGCCTTCTTCCTGCCCTTCCACCTCCTCCATGAAGGTTGGTTCTGCTGCTTTATACAGCCTCTTTAAGCTTAGCCCCCCCCACCCCCCGCATGAGCAAACCCTGGGTAAGACTTGAGCCGATACCCATCAGTCCATCTGGCCATGTAGCTTGTAGCGGTCAGGATTACTGTGGCACCAATAACAGCCATTAGCACGCTGTGCTGAAATAGCACTCCAACCATATCATCGTTGTAACGTTGAACCGTATAAATCGGTTTTATATTGATGTCTGTTCATGGGGGGGGGGGGCAACATGGATTCCTTATGCACACTGTGATAATCTTACAGTATTTCAAAAAAACCTTTGTCATTTTTTCTTTTCATCAGTCCTTCGTAAATTGGGTCCCGGTTTTGAGTCTGCATTTCGTTATCCATCGTTACCTCTCGTTATTTCACCACATTGTTGTTAAGTCCGTTTCCAGCATGATCTCCGCTCTGGAACAGATCGTGCTTTAAATAGACGTGCAAAGGCGCACCATGGCTTGCCGGGTCACTATTTTGACCCCCGTTGTAAACACAGAAGGCTTGCCGTACTTTTTTTTGGTGCGAGTACAGGGTGTTCACAGCTCTGTGCGTCTGAGTGGAAAGGAAAAGGTCATTCGTCGCTCGTTATGGATGCCTCCCTTTGCAGCGGGTCAGTCAGTCAGGCCAGTTTTTAAGTGCTGTTTTCTCGCCAATATATATCAAAATTTAAAAGGAACAGGGCCAGAGGTGGAAGAGACTGAACTCTAAAGTCTTTCTTGTTGGTTATTCGCCCCCCCCTCGAGGGTACGCTCTTTAAATAATGCAGTACTCGTGTTCATCTCCCATTCCTCATAGATTATTTATTTTAATTGCTTCGACCTCCCTCTCCCAGTCCCCAAGAGGTTATGGCTTTGGTCGTGTGACTGGTTCTCCGACTTGGTGACCTCAGAGTCGCTGCCTCCATGTTCCTCCTCTGTGAGCTTGGCAGTGTTTTTGTATTTCATCTTCCCTGCTGTGATCTCCGGCCCGCTTGGGCTGTCAGTACTGGGGTGTCTCCACGTTTCTGGGCCGGGGGGGGGGGGGGGGGGGGGGGGGGGGGGGGGGGGGGGGGGACACGGTATCACGTCTTTTGTTGCGTTCCAGGGTAGAAGTGTTGACAGAGACCTGTTGCCGCTACCTCTGATCCTCATCACCCGGGGGGGGAGGGGGGGGGGCTTCGCTCACTCGTCACCTTTTCTTGATGAAAGCGGGGGCCATATCCTCTCGCCTTTCTTGCAGGCTCGCTGTTAAACGCACTACTGCCGTATTGAGGCTGGTGCCTGTTTACTTTTTCAGGATGTCTTATTAAAACAGTGCCTCCTACTGGTGCTGTACCGCACCTGCACTCATCTCTTTATTTTCATTAATTAAACATCCCGGTCTACCGGAACAGTGACAGGTGACCCTTCTTCCACCCCGATCCTCATCAGCATACCTACGGTCACACTGATTCAGCTTGTCGCTCTTATCTCATTGGCCGAGAGTGTTTCTGAACGTATAAGTGGGTGTTCCTATATACCCACCCCAGGCCAGCTCTAACGCTGCTGCAGCGATGGTTGCCACGGGGACAGGGAGCTCTGGCCCTGCCCAATCAGGTGACCTAGACCTGTTCAGCGAGGCCAGCGGACGGACGGACGACTCAACTAAGAAGCCTCTCTCCAAGGACTCCATTCTGTCCCTGTATGGCAGCAGTGGTATGGCCCAGCAGCCTGCCCCTGGTAAGTCCCTTCTAGCACCGGCTCGGTCCATTCCGTGACCAGTGGGGGTCGCAAAAGTCTGTCTTCAGTCTGCAGTCCTGACCTGATGGTGGGGTATGCGACAAATGTGGGGGAGAGGGCAACTTTGGGCCGTACAGATCCCCGTGTGAAAGAATTCCGATGAAAATTAAAATGTCGGTAGTGGCTGTGGAGGTTTAGAGTGGGAACGGGGGGGAGGGGGGGTGTGACGAGGGCTTTCAGACTTAAGAGACCTTTTTATAAACGGGAACATCAATTATTCATGGCCTGTGTGCTGTGTGTCCCTGCACTCTCGCTCTGGCTGAGTGGGATGCAGCTGTCCGTCCTCTTCCCGTACCCCTTCCGACAGCACTCCTCTCTGCCCCCCCCTTGACACCGCCGCAACACCGATGCCCCCGGGATCCAGATCCGCGTGCTCGTTTATTTGGGCCGCAGGGAGGTGACGATCCCTCTCAGGCAATGTGCTCACTCTGTCCCCTTGCCCCTCTCAGCAGTAACCTCTGGAGGAGAGAGCATCCTTTGTCGGATCGGTACTTTTTGATAAGAGCCTGTCGGTTAGCGTCCTTAGCAGGTAGCTCTGGCCAGACAGTTCAGAGTCTGGATGTGTGTTTAGGAGCCTTGAGCCAGCAGACTTATTCAGCCTTTTAGCACATGACTGAGGTGGCTTCCGCTAAAGGCCATTGCTCAGGGTGGCCTCGCATTCTCGTCCTCTTCCAGCGGCCATGTTCGTGGGCCCCACCCAGATGCAGTTTCCCAGCCAGCCTCCCGCCGGCTTCCAGGGCTTCCCAGCGATGGGCGCGATGCCCCCCACCACCATGATGGGCCAGAACGCGGGCATCATGGTCGGCATGACGATGTCCAACGGATTCATGGGCGCTGGGCAGACTGGCGTGATGGGTCTGGCTCCTGGCATGATCGCGCCTCAGGGGGTCCCGGTTCCACCCGGCATGGTGCCCCCCCAGAGCATGTACGCCATGCAGCCTGGCCAGCAGCCTCAGTGGACGATCGGCCAGGTAGGCCCGCCTCCTGACACATTTCCTCATTCTGATTGGTTGACTCTGCTAATTAATGGCTCCGCCCACCAGCTGCAGAACTCTACAGTAGTAATAATTGGTGAGTTTCAAAGCAGCCTGGCCATGTTCCTGGATCCTTTGCACTCCTCCTATACCTCGAAGCTGTTTCCGTCTACCTTCCTCTGGGAGGGGGAATTAGAACACCCCTCCCCCGCCACTCTAAAATCACACATCTCCCATCACCTCTGCCGTCTTAGCTGCAGGCAGAGTGTGCCCCTCCCCCACAGTCTCTAGGAGGTTAATTACACATCGTAAATCGATCGAACGGGTCTCATATCTGCCTTTAATTAAAGGGCCTCGACCTACAGCCCCAAAAGCATGCGAGAGTTAAACACCCCAGGCGTGGCCTTTGTCACTGTCACCAGGCCACCACCACGCCAGCCGTGGATTATCTCTCATAATGCCGCCTGACTGATCTGCATAGCCCCGCCTTCTCCGTCTGCCGCACGGCTGTTGGCTGCGTGGCTGAATGGGGGTGCAGCTTTACTGCAGAGTGTGTGTGTGCCCCTGCCCACATGCCCCTGCCCACATGCCCCTGCCCAGCATGCCCCTGCCCACATGCCTTCCTGCCCCAAATGCATCCTTGTGTATTTTTACCACATTATTTTCTGCTGCAGGCAGAATGAGAGCAAACTAAAATTGATTCTGGTGGTGTATTTTGGGGAAGGGTGTTGGATGATGACCCCATACTTTGTGAAGGCCCCAACAAATTCTCTCTCTCTCTCTCTCTCTCTCTCTCCCTCTCTCTCTCTCTCTCTCTCTCTCTCTCTCAGGTAAACCAGCAGATGTCGGGCATGACCCTAAACGGTCCTGGGGGAGCAGTAG